AGATGATGACGATAATCAGGACTTCAAATATGTATATTCGCAATTACAAAAAAAAAAAAATACTAAAAAGGAAACATATAAATCAAATAAAAGGGTTAAAACGCTAACTGGGTATGCCAGTCATATCCCAGACTGTTAAATAAGAGCTAAAAATTAAGGGTAGAATTTAAATTAAATAAAAACTGTTACCCGTTACCCGTTACCGGTTATCTGTTACCTGTTACCTGTTACCTGTTAGCTGCTATCTCTTAACAGTCAACAAGGCAAATGGGTGTTAATATAGGTCAACCATAACGCCTTTTTTCTGAACTGTATACAATATTAAGTTGTTTGTTGGGAAAAGCAAAAAAAAAATGATATTCAACAAAGTGCAAATTAAACGAGTGACACCTGCACTTGAAAACTTCGTTACAATTGTCCTTTGAAAATTCACTCGTACTAAGTGTGAAGAAGCAAAGTGAGCAAAAAAAAAGATAGAATGAAAATAATATTACCAAATTTCCAACTAAATTAAATGGGATTTGTTCATCTGCAAGTTTAACTCCGAAAATCCCAGTCGGACAGTGAGCTTAAATTTTGGTTTTCACTGCTGATGTGCGGGTTAATGTGGCGCATTTTAATGAGGCGTGGCCATGATAACAACAGTCTGGTGTGCGACAGGTGGAAAAGTTCTATTCAACTTAAAGTTTTATAGACTTCGAAGCAAGAATAAAGTGAATTTCTCTATTAAATGGTGAAAATATAGAAGAAGGTATTTAACATTGCTAGATTTTGAGATTTGTTTTTGATTATGTTAAAATTTTTTTGATCTTCTCTTTAAATTAAGAAGTAATTTGATTTAAGTTGCACAAGCGAAATAAAAAGGAGTTGCGATGATGAAGAAAAAATATTATCCATCTTTACGCAAAAGTACAGGCGAGGAGATTTTCATTTTTCGACGATTGTTTCTGCATTAACCAAGCCAAGAAACTGAGATGGACTTGTTCAGATTTGTTCACTTCATCTAGAAAATCAAATTGTGCAATAAGTATAGCATTTTGAGCTGTTATAGAGTTGCTATAACAAAAGCAAAGATTAATTCTATGATAGAGTGTACCAGATACATGTCCGACTTTATAGATGAGATTATCGCTACTTAGTATTACTTAGTATTTATCGTTACATTACTTAGTATTTTTAATATTTTCAGTAAAACATAGCAGCTTTGACGAAAGAGTTTCCCAAAGACTTCAGAAAGTCTAAAATAAGCTGATAGTCCTTCTGTTTATGTTTTTTAAGTTCGTTGAGCACTATTTTTAATTTATGGTAAATTAAATTTAAAATTTAAAAAATTCAGTTAAGAACACTTTTTTTAAGCACTTTAACCTGTTAATTTTTAACACTGTAAGACTTTGAAAGATCTCATAGCATTTTGACTTTTCATTTAGCAAAAATAGAAGAGAAGTCTCAACTAAGTTAGTAATAATTGAAATAACTTTCCATATGCTTTTGATAGAATTAAATTGCATTACTAAGGATATTTTTCGGTGTCTTTTGGTCTGATGTACTTTTTTTAGTTAATTGCTACTTTTTTTGATAGCGTGGAGAAGCATTAAGAATAACTAACATTCGAGAGATAAATTTTTTAGAAGATCTATGATCTCTTACTTGTTCGAGTATCGAATCACATGAAACGATGAGCTGTGCGAGCTGTACCGAACATTGAGCAAGTTAAGCGTATAAGATGCGAATGGAAAAAAGTGCTCCGGCTTGAATGCTGTTTCAGCCGTTAGAAAATGTGAGAGAAGACGTCCTCACTGTCGTATTTCGATCAAAAAATCAGATGGCTTATGATATGAAGGCACTCGGAAATTCAACTGACGATAACAAGTCAATGATGGGGTTGACTGAAGGAAGCTACTAGCATATATTATTATGACACAATTTTGATCTTCAATTCAATCATCATTCAATTCAATCTAATGGAACTTCTATAATGGAAAATTGAGGAAGAACGATTACAAACGATGTAATATTTTTCTGATTTGGGTACAGGAACATTAAAAGATATGTGTGAAGGTAGACGATATAACTGAGTCGTGAAAGATATGCTACGTAGAAACGCTTGCAAAACCAGTTGATATAACTGTATTAGACATTCCTATCTGATCATACAAATCAAAATCACGTCATAGAATAATGACAACACAATTTTTGGCTGATGTAGGTACAATAAAATTGAAAGGAATATGTGGAGGTAGATAAAAGATTAATAAGTAATGCCAGTAGAAACTTTTGCTAAATCGGTTTTCATACAGCTGAAAGTTGTTTAAAGCGCTATTGACATAAAATGTTAAAAATTTATTTATAAATGTATGAATTTCTTTTCGAGTATTCGTGAAGTTTCTGAAACACGTTCACATATCATTGTTCTGTGAACAGTACATGCATTAAGCAAGGCCCACCACCGCTTCCTGCCACATACATCACCTATGACTGCATTACCTATAATGCAACACGTAAGCAACTTCTCCAACTTTGGAGTCGTAAAGTTGCACGCATATTACAATTTAAAATCTTTTAACAGCTAAAAAAGTACACTTCGTAAACTTCTTGTCTCGACGACATTACTATATTCCAACCATGCTAGTTGTTGTTGATAGTTATCCCCAAATATTATGAATAATCACTTTAAGACTTATTATTTACCATTTTTATGTGGCAATTATTTAAAAAAAATTTACAAATTTTTGCACTGTTGTATTCGGTATCTCAAAATCAATGTAAAACAAATGCCAAGCAAATATAAAACAATGTGCTATTGTAGTGAAATACTGCTAACATTTACACATTCCTTATCTGCATTATCTGTATAATCCTTTTCTCTTCATTTGAATCCTCATCCTTTGCCATTTAGTACGTTTGTTTAGCAAATTTAAGTTGTGCAACGCAAATAATGCACACATACGAGTACGCTCCTTACGAGGGGCGTCATAAAAACTAACCGTGAATAAATAATATGAAGTGTGGGCACAAAATTCAGTACGCGGGAATTAGTTTGTGGAAGGAAGGCTTTGTGTACGAAGGGCTAAGAAGAAGCACGTGTTTAACATGTACAATAAACCATGGCGCTGCACATGAGTTCAGATTTCGCAAAGGATATTGAAACAAATGATATTGAAACGCATTTGCACGTTCCAAAGTCAAATTGGAAAAGAAAATAGGAGGATTTCAAATATCCTTGGAATAAAAAAACCCAACAAAATGGCAGGAAGGAAAGCAGGATTTATGTAGACACTTATAGCAACTTAAATGTTAAAATGTATGAAAAGAAGCAGTAAAACTATAAAAAAGCGGAGTCTTAGAAAATAAACTACCAAACATTTTGTTTTGAGAAAAGTTTTGAAAAAAGTTTTCTTTAGAAAGAAAAAAAGTATATGGATTTCATGTTCAAAGCACTTTCTTTTGCATTACTTTTGCCTATGCGTTACTTTCAATTTGAAGAGCAGGATGAAGTAAAAAATACTAAGTGAGATCTGAACTAATTCAACAAAAAAAAATTGCGAAATCACAACAAATCGCTTGTAAATCTATACTCCACACATTCCAGATTTATTAAGATAGCCCATGAAGACAAAACAGTACGAAACATTTATGGTTTTGAGAAAGTCTACTCTCTGACTCTAGATATTCCCGTTGAATTCGTGAACGCTGACTGATAATCTTCGTCGAACTTTTATTAATATTCTGCGCTCACCGTCTGATCTTCTACGGCGAGCTCAAAGTCCACCATTCGTTCGTTTAAAGTATTATTTTCTCTTTTCACTCTACTGTTGACTTCCGTGCCGCACTCTAGCCTCCATTACGTTTTTGATTCGCGTTGGAAATATTATGTTTTATCAGCAATTAAAATGTCTAACTTACTGGACGAAGTCTTTCGGAACATCTTTGGTACATCTTAGCATTACTGAACTCTCCAATCTCTTTGGGTGATATATCTCCCATTCAACTGTGGGTCACTTAGCGTGCACATATCTTCCATTGTCCCAAATCCTTGAGTGTATTACCGAAGGCTATGCTTGTAGGTTTAAAGTTTCTTTTACAGTGAGTATCGCAGATACACAACGGTTGCTATGGAGAGTTTTTTGACTTTCTCGATATTGTGAGAAGTGTTTGACGACGATATTCAGTTATCATATCACAGAATCTGTTAAATTTGTGCGCGCATAATGGTTTTGTTCCATTATATAGCTTTTAGTAATATTCAGCTTCTTCCGACTTAATTCAAATTCCTCAAGAATCAAGTAAAATAATTTAGTTTTCCTTGTTTCGTCAGCGATTGGTCATTGTTTTTAAGTCGTTCCATAATGCTGATCAGTAAATCACATATGGTATCCCAGTACTTTTAGAGGCTTGTCACTTTGTTAACAAGTCCAGGTTGGTTAATATCTGCATGCTTAATTTCATTATGTAGTTAATAGAAAAAAACATATGCAAATTATAAAGCTTGTAGATTAATTTTCTGTGTTGTTGTAACAAAATCGATGGTTAGATCAGGTACAAGCTTCTACAGATATTAATGGTAGCAGCTGTGAATTATTAAAAAGTACGTGAGAAGGTAGTCATTTCTCTACATTTCCTTACGATCCATAATTTAATCTTTAGGATCCAACCCAATTTTATTATTATTGTGATTTGGATTCTCTGAAACCACTAATGACGTTCCACTAACGTTACTTCCATAGTCCTCTTTTGTACTGAAATCATTTCGCTTCTACCAGCAATCACTTTCATTGCGTCATTCGATATGAGTTTGATGGAACTGAACCCTGTTTAGAGGTACAACTCCAAGTTACGAAAATTAAATCATATTCTTTGGTACATTCTTTAACGAAAAACATCACGAGAAATTATGACAAATGAAAATTTCAAAAGTTTGAAAAAAAAAATATTAAGTAGTCATGAAGTTTTTTTTATTATTTAAATGTCAAAAAACTATATAATATGATTAAAAAAATTTTATATTGTTACAATTTATTTACTCTTTTGGCTTAAGTGAATATTGAAAAGATTTTTATCTGTCGTTTATGCAACTAGTGTTTTATGGACTAAATTTACATAAGAAAAAGCAAAAAGTAAGTAAAAATAATTTTAACATAATCTGGGACTCCCATAATTTTTTAGTTTGCTTTAATTAGTTTGAAACCCCCGTAATTGTATTTAGACCAGTGTTTCGAAAAGTGCAGTTCATGTAAAGCTCACTGTTTTCGAAAAATTTGAAAATTATACAGATTTCTGTATATTAATTCCATTAAAACCTGTTAAATGTATTTTTTAATAAGTAGGTATGATGGCTTTTTGTCAAAATAAAATTAAAGGATATAATCATTATTTTGCTAGTCCTAATTTGTTTTTATAAGGTGTGAAGGCATAAAAACTATAAAGGTACTTCGACGGGGCATAAAACAAAAAAGTGTTGGTAAGAACTGATTTAGACTAATATCTTGTTCCCACTGCCGTTAAAACAACTTTTGATAATCAAATTAATCAAAGTTAATAAGTTGACTTATGCATGTGAAAGAGCTCTTATGTGTCAGAAAGGTCTCGGAGGTTATGTTTGTTTAGATTTCAGTTGATATTTAATTGAATTGAATATTTTTTATTAAATAATATATGATATGTATAATGATATGAAACATATATTACAATTTATTGCTTATGTCAAATATGTCGAATTTCCACAATTTCCCTTCTTGGGAAATACATTTTACAATATTGTCAGTATTGGTGTAATTTTTCTTTATTTATTCTTAACTAATAGTACATTCACAGTGTCTCATTTAGGCACTTGCTCATTTATATTTTAAGAAGTGAATGTTCACATTATAACGACCTCATTTATGTAGCTGATAGAACTTTTATATACTTCACTTGATAATATATCACAAAAAAAATCTGTACATTTATTTACTGTGCTCAAAGCTCCAGTTTTTCAACCAAACTGGAGCTTTGTCACTGTCATGCTCTCATAACAATGATAATATCTGGACACAGTGGTGGCAAACCACTTGAAATTAACAACGATATAATAAGATCATAATAAGATATAAAAAGTACATATAAAAAATAGATATAAAAAATATATGTAAAATATATACTTAGCTTTACCATTCTTTACCTTGTGGGAAAATTTATTTTTAACGATTGCATTCGACATTTTTTCGCATTAAATGAGCTGATTTATTTATAATGAGCTCATTTATATGAAATATTTTTGTGTGGTGAATCATACTAATTAATGGCTATAATGAGCAAACCCGCCTAAATAAGACAGTGTGAATGTGCTATAAGCTAACAAGCACGTAAGCTTTTGGTATGGTTAATGAAATTTGATGAGTGACCTTAATTAAATAAACTGGTGGTTGTTGTTGTGATTTGAGTTAGTGTTGTTGTGCACTTTTACTCTATTGTGGCTGGGGGGCTTATCTTTGCCCCACACTAAACTTTAACTATACTAGAATTATTATCATTTATTTATTTTCTAACTGATGATGGACCGTAGATCAGCTTTAACGAAACATAGTATAAGATTTATAGAATTACATTGTTACAAAGCAATATACACTTTGAATTGTATATGGTAATATAGTCATAAAAATAATAGTTTTATTTTTTCTATGTTAAATATTTGTCTTTCTATATAAATTGAGGGAAGTATTTTGAATTTCGAAATAATTCTGACAGAAGAAAATATATTTTAAATTAATTTAATAAAGTAGCCATGGAATTGTTATTTTGTTCAATGTCGAAAAATTAGTTATAAGAAAAATTTTTTTTAATTGTTAGTTACTAGTTTTTTGGCTTACGTATATATTGAAAGTATTATTTTTTATCTGTTATTTGTGAATTTGGTGTATAGAGCTTGCATAGAAAAATGAAAAAGTAAGTAAAAATCTTTTGATTAAATATTGCATTGCAATTTTTTCAAATTATTTTCATTTTTAAATCAGCGGTTTTTTTTGTGTAGTAAATAACTGTAATTTTAAATTTTTGATTGTCTCAAGTTTTGTCTTTACTAAGCAAATATTTCGACTGCGATAATTTTTAATTAGTGTTTAGATCGCATAACTTCGAGACTCGCTTAGTTATGCTTAGTCTCTATATAGTCAAAGCATGGTTATTCGAACACTAACATAACTCTGCAATGTTGGTAGTTCAAAATTGTGATTTCCCATACGAAACACGTTTTTTTACATAAATAGTCCTCTTTACTTGGCAGAATTATTAGTTTAGCTGGTACCCACTCAAGGGAGCTTACACTGTATTTTTAGTTTTTTACACTTTTATATCCACATATGTGTAATTTAAAGAAAATAAAACTAAAATTTTGTTGTCAAGTTAGGAATTCTTAAAAATATTTTGCACTTTTAAGTTTCTTTAAATGCTTTGTGGTTAGATTCATATAAGAACGTTTTGATATAAAGTTAAAAGTGAGATCAAAATAATTCTAAACTTGCTAAATTAAATTCTGTGTAAATTTCCCCGAGGACGTCTACTTAAAAAGAACTGATATTTATTTTTTGAAATTATTGTTTGAAACGGGAGCTGCTTTCCGAAGTCAATATGAGGTTAGTTTTATGTTCTATTAAAGAAAACTCTATCAATGTATTTTAACTTAATTGCAAACACAATTAGAATTCCGAAACTATTAGACCTTTATAATTCATCATTTCATTTTGTTGACATATTTTACAAACAGTCGGGAACTAAGTAATACCAAATAAGACTCGAAATAAGAAAGGTCATATTTTTGTAATGAAAATAAAAGTTAGGTATATAAATTATTCCGAATTATAGATAAATATTTCGAACTTACTTAAATTCTTTAAAATGACTAAAAAGCACTTTCTTATTCAAAATATTTTCAATATAGCTTAAGTATAACAATATTCTTTTAAAAGTATTTTTTATGATTGCCAACATAAATTCTGCTCAAAAAGTACCCGGATTTTGTAAATAAAACACAAATTTAAATTTTATTCCAAATTTATTTTATCTCCTTCAAAATATGCTACTTCTGAAGCGATAAACATATGCCAACGCTTAAGCCAATCTTCCATATACTTTTCGTAGGCCCGTGAAGGTATGGCTTATAGTTCCTTCAGGGAATTCTCTTTCACCGATTCAATCGACTTAAAACGCTTATCATGAAGGGGCAATTTGAGTTTCGGGAACAGGAAAAAGTCGCACGGATCCAGATCTGGCGAATATGGTGCCTGAGCGATGACAGTGGTGCCGTGTTTGGGTGTTTGGTCAAAAAATCGCGTACAACAAGAATTTTCCGTAGTAAAAATCGCTAAATGCACTTGAGGTAGTCTCACATTAACAGCTACTGTAAACAAACTATTTGACAGATTACGCTCAAATTTGTCCCAAACTTCAAGAAAGGGTGTACCAATGTAAAAAAAATAAATATTTGAAAAAGGTCTATTACTTAAGAAGTAGTTAACAAAACAAAATCCGGAGCAGAAGGTTTATGGAAAAGGTTTCTCAATAAAGATGCTGAACCCATTGAACTGAAACTGTTCATAAATTTGAAATTAATTTTCAATGAGCGTAAAAACTTCTAATGCATTTTATTTCTAATTAATTTGAACTTGTTGGTTGCTTAGCAAAATAAGTTATATGCAAACTAAATACTGTTCATATATTATTTTTTGGATTTATTGTTTTTTATAAATTTAATATATATAGTTTAATATATATGTACTTTTCACAATTTTCCAATAGCTTCAACATGGATGGTCAATACCCATATTATCAAGTGCAGAGTGACAGTGATAGCAGTGATGATGGGGTTAGTAGTTCCAATTATTCATCTGTAGGACCAAATACAGCTTGGTATTATGATCAACACGGCTATCCTCATTATATACCTTCTTACGGTATGCCCTATCATCCCATGATGAATTACCCTCCACCTATGCCAACTTATGGTGTGCCTTTCACTGGAGCTTATCCTAACGGTATGTACACATTTCCACGTCCACGTGTTATAGCTCCCGTTGCTGTACCAAATAGGTACACTCCAAGTGCTCCTCCGCCACCACCTCCTGTTATTCATGCCTGCAATGCATGTAGAATTAAAATGGGTCAACCTCCATTGCCAAACCAAATACCAGACGATGAGGAAGAAGAGAAAAAGAGGGAAGTCGCCATGGCCTTGAATTTGTATGATATTGCAGCAGCTATAGATCAACAAGATGATGATGAGCTCACTGCTGATCTGGAGAAGATGTTGATTGACACTATGATTATGACTGACAGGGCTTTTAAGTAAATTCTATGATGTGGCAACCAAATACAACCAAATTTTAAAGTTGTATTATGAAAATCACAACGTTATTGCAAAAGTGAAAATCCATTAAGAAAACTTATTTAAAAATTTAGAGTTTAATTTGAACATTTAATCTTTACACGCTCCTCGTGTTAAGCTGTTTAAGTAATTAATTCTCAAACGTTTTGAAAAATTTTTAAAAGTTAAAGAAAATTTTCATGTACTTGTTTGTACTAGTTTATTACCCCAATCAAAGAAACTAAATCATTTGTAGATTCAAAATTAATTACATATAAAAGAAAGCTTTGAAGCCAATAATAATGATTTTACTTTTGTTGAAGTAAAAATATGATATAAAAAATATGTAAGTATTTTCTTCATCATTACAATAACTGTCAAAATAGTTTTATCTATTAATATATTCTATATTTCGACTCTCCTTGAGAGTCATTATTGGGATAAGGATCTAACATAAATATAGATAACAGAATGAAGGACAAAACTTTAATATAGAAATAAACTTCCCACCGAATTATTTGCTGAATGTGGTAAAGTAAACAACGGTCTTGGAATGAGCTGCCGCACGGAGCACTAAAAAACTCTTGGTCCAAGTAATTATTTTTTTTAATTGGAACTCAAATCATTACGACAGCGATGATAACTTAACACTTTCGAATTTAATTAGGGAAAATGAGGACTACTCTAAAGCTATCGAAACAAATTAGGCTCTTCTTATTCTTCTTCTCGTTTTATCGGTCTTATTCAAGACGGATCGAAATATAAGTTCAATATTGGTAATGAGACTTTAAATAAAATTGAAGATAACGTTCACAATACCACACCAAATCTGTCTCATTCTGAAGCGATTGAAAGCGTCAAGATCTTAATAAACTGGTACAAAAGGAATGATTTCTTTCTACTGATCACATGGCCAATCTTATAATTCTAAACCTAAAACCTGAAAAACAAATATTTTTTTACTGAATATTTTATACAGTAATGTTGAATAAAGATAGATTTCAACTGTAAAATAAAGCTTTTATATGGAGTTTTAATTTTTTGATAATTTTTTATTGAAATAAAAAAATTACAGAATTTAGAAATTTTCGCTAATACATTTTACCCGAAGAACCAACTGGTCCTAGTTAGTAAACCTCTACTGTATTATTTTTGAGAAAATATTGGTTCTGAGCCTTGAAAAACACATAAAATATTTTTGCTAACCTCGTAAAACATATTAATTATTTTTTAGTTTCAGTTTCAGATTATTTTTTATTTTAGATTTTCGGGAAAAAAAAGGATTTATTTGAAATATTGAAGATATATGTTATGCCTAAATATATAAGGAATTTATGTGTGTTAAATATATAGACAGTACTAACCTAAAAATTACTTATAAACAAATGAAGATATTGTGCTTATAAATCACCAACATAGCGCTACTTGTAAAAGAAACGCAGTGGAAAATGAATGAATCCGTCATCGAAGATGTCTCGTAGATATGATGCCAGCAGACCAATCGATCCAAATTATGATGGTCCTCGCAGACATTTTCGAACAAATTTCGATGACATTTTGCGTACATATAGCGAAGACTGGATACGTCCATGTCTTGCATAGCGGACGCATTCGATTAAAAGTTGTCACTTTTAATTTTTTTACCCTTTTTTTTCTTCATTTTTGAGCTTCTTATTATAAATTTTGTTTCTCTTTAAATAACTAGAAAGAAATTTGTGCGCAATTATTTTTTATTATTTATTATATATGCATATATATTTTGTATATTATATTTAGATAATTATAAATTTATTTATAAAAAGAAATTTAAATTAAATTAATTTAAGAATTGTGAGTGGAATTGAAAATTCTACTTATAGAATGCTTATTCACTTCACTCAAAAATTGAAGAGAGTAAGTATACATTGTGACCGAAAAGCTTCCGGAAATTTTAAATAAAACGCAAAATTCTTAATCTTCATCAATATTTATTTTATCTCCTTCAAAATATGCTCCATTAGAAGCGATACACAAATGCCAACGTTTCTTCCAATCATCAAAACATTTTTTATAGGCGCTTTCCGGTATGGCTTTGAGTTCCCTCTGCGAATTCTGTTTTACGTCTTCTATGGATTCAAAACGCGTTCCTCTGAGTGGTAATTTGAGGTTGGGAAACAGGAAAAAGTCACACGGTGCAAGATCAGGTGAATACGGTGGCTGTTCGATGGTATTTATTGAATGTTTGGCCTTAAAATCGTTGATAATGTTGAACAAATTGAGGTGAATCGGAACAAGCCGGGCGTTGACACGTCGCATACACAAATTGTCCACCAAAATCAAACGAGCCATCTCACGACCGATGCCTAGCTCTCGTGCTATCTCTCTAACACTCACATGAGGATTTTTGAACACGATTTCCTTTGCCTTTTCAATGTTTTCGTCGGTGGTAGAGGTCGAAGGTCGTCCAGAACGCGGCATGTCTTCGACGGTCGTACGACAGTCCTGAAAGGCTTTGTACCACTCATAAACTTGAGTTTTCGATAAAACTGATTCCCCATAAGCCTTTTGTAGCATTCGCAACGATTCTGCACACGAAATTTCGTTCGAAAAACAAAATTTGATGCAAACTCTTTGTTCAATATTTTTTTCCATTGTTTTTTTCGCAACGCACTACTGAGGTGAACTGGTTTCAACAGCTGCCGTAAACGAACTGTCTGACAGATCGCGCTCATTTTTGGCATAGTAATTAAGGACAGTGCTGCCAAACTACATAAAACTTAAAATATCGAAAAATATACAGCGCGCGAATTTTAAATGAGAACCTCCGAAAACTTTTCGGTCACAATGTAATAGAGACTATTTACATTTATATTTGAGCAATTGTTTTGCAAATTTAAAAGTTAGAGAACAATAATTTCGAAGTCATCTTCGAAGATATTGTCTTCTAGACGGTAACATTTTCAACTAGAAATATATGATGTTTCCAACACTATTGACACTTACCTTATGCGGAAGATACATTATTCCAAAATCCGTGTTAAATTTCTTAAAATGAAATTAAAAATAATTCCGATTTTGAACTCTCGTGTTCGAAGTATCCTAAAAGATACATCTAGTGTATTTGTTATATAATTGTTCTGGAGAAATGAGACATCGCCAATGATTTATTTTTTCACAATGGCTATACCTAATCTCTTGTAGATAAGGAGAGAAAAATTGCGATACATATGCCACGCACTTCGTCTGGAAAACTATAACATATCGTATACCTGGTCACACTCACTATATATATGTTAATTTATGATCTAGCTTGCAGCGTGGAAGAAGAGAAACTTTGTTTCTGCCTTATGTAGTTTTCAAGATATTACTCAAAGAAGGTACTGTGTTGCTAAAGAGAAAAATCATAAGAAGTGTGATAAAGGTAAGGCCAGACTAAATTAAAAAAATCTTAGTACTGGTTTTGCTTTGCTTAAAATTCGTGTTAAAAGCCATGGAAGTAATAATATATGTTACTATCGACAGCAGAAATTTTATTTAAATACATATAGATTATATATTTATTAAAAATTTGAAATTTATGTTTTAAAGTTACATACAGGCTTTTGAAACTTTTTATAATTTATTTATTTTTCTATATTTTTTGTAAACATGATTTTAACCCGATTTTAACCATGTTCGTATGTGCATACAGCAAAAATGCTTTTTTGCTCAATTAAAACATATAAATCATTACAATTCAATTATAATTTATTGCAAAATATTGAATGGACATATCTTATTTATATGTTTCAATATAAAATGCATAAAATGCATTACCCATTTATCTCCGATCTTATATCTCTAGCAGCTCAATTAAAATCTCATATCATGTAACATTTATCAAATGATATATAGCAACCCATATTGCATGGTATTTGGTTGGGTGTAGTGAGTATCTCTGTGGACTCTTACTGTAATATATATCATTGTCTACGGATATTATAAATGTCCTCGTGAATGATTTGTGTTTACAATTTTATAAGCAAATTAAAATAAATTTATTTAATTAAGTTATTTTTAAGTTAGTGAGTTCAAAAAATAATGAAATTTTTGAAAATTTTGCATAATTTACGAAATGAATGAAATGTTTTCTTGAAAATAAAATTGAGAAGTGCGACGATATTAATGTTTTTTATTAGCACTTTTATTATAGGTATTTTTTTATTTTTCTTGAATAATTAAATAAAATCAAATTTAAAACAATACGAATCTGTTTTCGGCCAATAATTTCGAAACAATATCGAGGTTTCGCTACGCACAGACAGATGATCATATTAAATGGAATAAGATACTATTCGTTTGTTATGCAGACCATTTGAAGAGCTACATTGTTACAATTGTTAAACTCACAGAGGTAATAGTGAAAGCGTAGCATAAAATTGGGTTTTAATCATGAAAGTAAAGAAAACAGATTATTACTAATATATTAATTATCATCAGTTTCTGGAGAATGAACGATTGCAGTTTTAACTTCAATCCTGACTGGAGTTGACAAATCGGGACTCAAATCCATATCGAGGCCCCACAATATGTTCTATAGTAGCGTTTGTGGTACTTGGAAATTCATAAACGTTTAATGTCAAATTTTGTTGATGTGATACCAAGTTGTCAGAATTGCAATTTTTCTTTTGTGGGATGCCGCAAAGAATCCTATCAATGCAGATAATCCCCAAAATTCTCAAAAACTACCCGGATTTTGCAAATACAACACAAATTTAAATTTTATTCCAAATTTATTTTAGCTCCTTTAAAGTATGCTCTTTCTGAAGCGATACGCATGCGCCAACGCTTAACCCAATCTTCCATACACTTTCGTAGGCCCGTGAAGGTATGACTTTTGGTTCCTTAGCGAAAGGAATGCTTACCACGAAGGGGCAATTTCAGTTTCGGGAACAGGAAAAAGTCGCACGGCGCCAGATCTGGCGAATATGGTGCCTAAGCGATGACAGTGGTGCCGTGTTTGGGTGTTTGGTCAAAAAATCGCGTACAACAAGAATTTTCCGTAGTAAAAATCGCTAAATGCACTTGAGGTAGTCTCACATTAACAGCTACTGTAAACAAACTATTTGACAGATGACGCTCAAATTTGTCCCAAATGTCAAGAAAGGGTGTACCAATATAAAAAAAACAAATATTTGAAAAAGGTCTATTACTTAAGGATTAGTTAACAAGTTATTGTCTGCTATGTGCTGACAGGTAATTGGTGATATCTTCAATATTTAAATATTTGGTTGATATTTAATATCGGTTCTAATGGCAAAGCTTAAGATTTA